TACTTTTCTTCATACCAATGATCACCACCTACTATATTACACATTTATTGGTTTGTCTTTCCTCAAAAGAATGCAAACTTCACCAGCACAGGAACTTTTTCAATGTCATCCCCTGCTGTATTTTAAGCATCTAGTGCAATGCCTGTTACATAGCAGGTATATTACTCAGAGTTCTCCAGAGAGACAGAATAAAGAGGCTACGGACAGACAGAAATACCTAAGAGGAGATGGATTAGGGGAATTGGCTCATGTGATTATGGAGGCTGACAGGGGGCTACTTCTACGCTAGAGATCCTGGGAAGCTGGTAGCATGACCTGGTCCAAATGTAAAGACCTCTGAACCAGGGAAGCCAAGGTTGTGACTCTCAATCCAAGGCCAAAAGCCCAAGAAACCAGGCGGAGGCCACTGGTGCAGGTCCTGACCTGACCTAAAGTCCAGGAAGCCTGGGGTTCTAATGTCCAAGGGTAGGAGAAGGGTGTGCCAGCGTCTTCTGAAGGGAGAGAAAAGAATTTGCCTTTCCTCTGCCTTTTTGTTCTATTCAGGCCCCTGTTGATTGGATGGCACCTGTGTACACTGAGGGCATGAGGGAATGCGTTCCCTTTCTGGGTCCAGGAGGGGGTGTAGTTTTAAGGGCAAGAATTTTCCAGTGCCATGCTCCCTTCCCATCGCTCTTCGTCCGGGAGATTTAACAGTTTATGTTTGAATTTCGCAGTTGTGGGAAGAAACTAAGAGTCAATCACTCCAGCGGAAGTTCTAAGGAACTCCTTTCATTGGCCAGAGGAACTTGGGGAGGTGGGAATGTCTCCCAGGATAAATTCCCCCGCTCCTTCACCCACACTGGATTTCCAGCTCTCTGGGATCCCCTCCCATGTAGTGGGAACTCTCTTTCCCCTCCTGGATTTCCCCTCTGAAACCCCCTTCCACACTCTTCGTGGAAGTCTTTCTCTTCTCCTTTTCTTCTCTTTTCTTAGCCTAAATAAACACCTTTCTGCAACACTTCTTGAGTCCAATATTTACTTTTACGAGCGTACAGTGCACCTGCAGTGGTCCCTTCTCTTATTCTTAAGAGAGCGGAGACCAAGAACCCACAGCATTCTCTTGGGGGAGCCGTGCCTCACCAACACCCCCCAAAAAAACCCGGTTACAGAGCTGGCGGGCAGACCTTCCTTCCTCAGTCCACCGACTCACATACCAGTCTCCTCTGGAAGGACCCTCATAGACACACTTAGAAACAATGCTCTACCAGGTCTCTAGGTGTTCCTTAATCTTGCCAAGTTTGACACCTAAAATTAATGATTACAGTAGGTGTTCAATAAACATTTGTTGAATAAATAAATGGGAGGTCCCGGGGCTCCTTCAGAAAAACAAAACAAAACAAAAAACCTCCTTCTTCCCCAGCCAGTCTCACAACGCCCTGGAAAGAATGATCATTTTTATTTCATATCTTTATTTCATGGAGAGAAATTGTTTTTATTCACATATAGTTTGAACCTTCCCCTCCTTTTTATAATTTTTTCCTGCCAACACCCTAACCTCCTACAGAGTGAGAGAGAAAGAGAGCAGGAGGACACGTGCCAGTTCATGTGCCATCAAAGGAATCGGGCTTTCTTTCATGGCAATGCCTTTGGAGCAAACCTGAAGCCTGTAAGGCAACGACAATGACAGTCTCTTTCCCACCTCCCAGAAGAGAATGAGAATAAATCTAGTGATAATGGGAAGAGTGTGATGTGAGGCAGAGCTAACATCACAGAGGTCCCAGGGAACGTTATTTTTCCCTCTTCTTTCTAAAGACACCATAAAAAGCTCCAGATTTTTCTTTCTGAGTGGTGACTGCTTTAAAGAATATAAAATCTGAGATACTGTGAACCTCCACGTGATTTCACCTCTGACAACTGATGTGAGGCACAGTGATGGGACTTCATGGTTGTTATATTTGACTTGCAGCCTTGGGAGGAGGGCAGTTGGAAAGGAGGACTGTCCTGAAGTAATGGTGGCCCCATTGGGGTTTGGGGCTTTGTGTCATAGTTTAAGCAATTCAGGCAGGCGAGGTTGAAGGAAGGGATGAAAAGGAATCACAGGAAAGGGAGGTGGAGGAGATGCAAAAGTGAGGAAGGGGGCGAGAAGAGACAAATGAGCCAAGCTCACCTGTTGCCCTGTCTGTGGGGACCAAGAAAATCTCCAGCTTAGGTTTGATCAGTTTAGGGCAATGACCCTCAAATCTTCACTTCCAGCAATCCTTAATCACTTGATAGAATTTTCTATCCAGCATACTTTATGTCGTATAATAAAGAACTTGTCTGGTCTTTTTCCCAGGTTCCTGGGACTCTCTCAACCCTCACCCCATGTGTCTCTTCATGTGGCTGGTCCTGACCTATATCCTTTCTCGTAAGTGTCTGTAATTGGAAGTAGACCCTTTCCTGAGTTCTGTGAGTCGTTGCAGTGAATTATCTAACCTGACTGGGTCATGGGAACCCCTGAATGTCTAGTTAGTCAGTCAGAAGTGTAGGTGGCCTGGAGACCCCTGAACCTGTGGCTGGTGTCTGAAGTTCCGGCCATCTTGAGGGGGGCTGTGCCCTTCATTTGTGGGGTGTATTACTCAGGATCCTCCAGAGAGACAGAGCCAGTGGGATAGGGGAAAGGTGATTTATTAGGGGGAGTGGCTTACACAATCATGGAGGTGGAGAAGTCCCACAATAGCTCTCTGTGAGCTGGAGAACCAGAGAAACCAGCAACATAGTTCAAAGCTGGTAGCATGAGGTTCAGTTCAAGTCTGGAAGCCTCAGAACCAGGGAAGCAGACAGTGCAGGCCCCCATCTGAGGCTGCAGACCTGACTGCTCCCAGAAGGCTACTGGTGTAAGTCTCAGAGTCCAAAAGCAGAAAAGCCTGAGTCTTACGTCCAAAGTCAGGAGGAAGAAAAGCATGTCATCCTAGAAGAGAGAGAGAGAATGAGAGAGAATGGTGGGGATGGGGGAACAAGCCCCCTTCTTCTCCCTGCTTGTGCCAGCCAGGGCTCCTGCCGATGGGATGGTGCCTGACCCTTGAGGGCAGATCTTCCTCTCTCAGTGCACTGACTCACACCCTCACAGGCACACCCAGAAACAATGCTTCATCAGTTGTCTAAGCAGTCCTGAATCCAGTTAAACTGACACGTAAAATTAGCCATCACATGAGATCTGCACTAACTCTGGGTGGTTAATGCCACAATTTAATTGCAGTCCCCCAGTGGGTGTTAGTATTCTACTTATTCAATTTAGCAAAAATGTCAATTCCTTGGTGAAGCTTTCCTTGACTTCCCCAGAAATAGTTGCTCCCTTTCTCTCCTTTTATTCTATTAATACCTCTATGGTAGCACACACCATATTTTTGCACACACATAATTTTTCTGTTGAGAGGTCTGTTTCCCCTATTATCTGGGCCCTTTGCAGTCAGGGCCTCCTAGCTGTGTGCAGCCTAGGGACATAGTGCCCTGTGTCCCAGCCACTCTAGCAGTGGCTAAAAGCGGCCAAGGTACAGCTCAAGCCACTGCTTCAGAGGGTGTGAGCCCCAAGCTTTGGCAGCTTCCACATAATGTTGGGCCTGTGGGCACACAGAAGTCAAGAATTGAGGTTTGAGAACTTCTGCCTAGATTTCAGAAGATATATGGAAATGCCTGGATATCCAGGGAGAAGTTTGCTGCAGAGGCAGGGCCCCCATGGAGAACCTCTGCTAGGGCAGTGCAGAAGGGAAATGTGGGGTCAAGCCCCCACACAGAGTCCCCACTGGAGCACTGCCTAGTGGAGCAGTGAGAAGAGGACCACCGTCCTGCGGATCCCAGAATGGTAGATCCACTGACAGCGTGCACCATGCACCTGGAAAAGCCACAGACATTCAATGCCAGCCATGAAAGCAGCCAGGAGTGGGGCTGTACCCTCCAAAGCCACAGGGGTGAGCTGCCCAAAGCCATGGGGGCCTACCTCTTCCATAAATGTGACCTGGATGTGAGACATGGAGTTGATGGAGATTGTTTCAGAGCTTTAAGATTTAGTTAATGCCTCACTGGATTTTGGACTTGTATAGGGCCTGTAGCCCCTTTGTTTTGGCCAATTTCTTTCATTTGGAACAGCTGTATTTATCCACTGCCTATACCTGCATTGTATCTATGAAGTACCTAACTTGTTTTTGATTTTACAGGCTCATAAGTGGAAGGGACTTGCCTTGTCGCAGATGAAACTTTGAACTTGGACTTTTGAGTTAATGCTAAAATAAGTTAAGACTTTGGGAGACTGTTGGGAAGGCATGATTGATTTTGAAATGTGAGGACATGATATTTGGGAGGGGATAGGGGTGGAATGATATGGTTTGGCTGTGTCCCCACCCATATCTCAACTTTGAATTGTAACTCCCATAATTCCCACGTTTTGTGGAAGAGTCCTGGTAGGAGGTAACTGAGTCATGGGGGCAGGTTTTTCCTGTGCTGTTCTCATGATAGAGAATAAGTCTCACAAGATCAGATGGTTTTGTAAAAGGGCAGTTCCCCTGCACATGTTCTCTTGCCTGTTGCCAGCCATGTGAAACTGAGTCCATTAAACATCTTATTCTTTATAAATTCCCCAGTCTTGGACATGTCTTTATTAGCAGCGTCAGAGCAGACTAACACAAAACACAACAAGGAGGTCCAATGAGAGGGAAACTCCCCAGGGAGAGGTGGTGGCTTCTTCACGTATCTCAGCATGTATTTGGGGGCTGGAACCAGATAGGAAGATATGATGAATGGTCTTAAGGAAATTGTCCAGGCCCTGTCCACAGAACAGAAGCTAGAGCTATCCTGGAGAAAACGTCAAATTTGTAGGGGAAATTGACAAACTGTTATTTTGTTTGTAATCATCAGCACTGCAATTCAGTTTGGTTGTGCTTCACATCCAGCCCAAGCTTTCCTAAATCCCCTGTCACGTTCTATCCCATCTTAGCCCATGCCCTCAGCAGGGCTTCCCCAGTGCTCTCTGACTCACTTTCCTCGGAGAAGCAGCAGTAGCAGATAGCTTTCTGTGTCCTTCACTGGCTGCAAGGTGTGACAAGGAGAAAGGTTATGTTCCAGAAGCCTTTGCAGCTTCAGGTAAGATTAGAATGGTCTCTGGAAAGGGACAAGTTCCAGAGAAGGTACAGACTGAGAAATTAGGAGTGGGGGCTTTTATAAACTGTGCCTCAACTTCATGAAAGAATGAGGGAGAGAGAGCTCAGGGGCTGACTCCATAGGGAAGGCTGGTTTGGGGGATGACTAATGCAATTACCCATTTGGAATTTAGCTTAGGAGATGAAAAGAAATAGACCAGAGGTGACAGGTTTAAAAATTCTGTGGTTTTTTCTTTGTTTGTTTGCTCCCAATCCTCTCCTAGTCCAGTGGTGGGAGAGGAGCTGGGATAAGGAGAGTGGAGAGAAAGAGAAAGGAAGGAGAAATAAAAAGAGACTTGAAAAAGAAAGGGAGTCCTAATGCGGGGATGACCAGTAAAAAGTAAATAAATAAATACAACCTTAAAAGAAAGGGGTATGTGAGGACACCAAGGAGTGTGGCTAATGTGATTAACCCTGGCCTAAGGACAAGATGGGATATTAATTTTGATCTCCCAGATTTAGGATTGCCATGAAAATACTTGGTTGAGAGGCAGGGGCTAGACAGTGGGGAATGGAAGGCAAGTGTCTGATTCCAGAGGAAAGCAGAGTGTTAGCAAGGTAGGAGGAGAATAGCTCTCACCTGAGAGATCATAGGCTTGGGAGGGCCTAACGCAAGATCAGGGAGAAGAAACCACCAAAAAATTGGTCTAACCAGCTAACAAGTCACTGCTATGGGGTGGCTCTGAGCTGTGCTGTGTCTCCCTCCTTCCCTGGCCATGGCCCCACCCTCCCCATGTGGTTGGACATTCTCACCACCAGGACGTCAGGAGGTATACAGTTTAATTCAGTCTCTTCGACCAACTAGTTCTGTGGCTCCTGCTTAATCTCCAGAAGCTTCGTTTGAATATTCCTTTCAGGGAAAGCATGCCAGCTGGCGCCATGGTGGGGAGTATTTTTTCAGATCCTAAAAGACTGAGAAACTTGTCACAGCCAAAAGGAGCATAAGTAGACATGACAACTGAGTAGATTGTGGTAAACTGGATGGGATTCTGGGACAAAAAAAGGGGCATTAGGGGGCAACAGAAAATCTGAATGAAGTGCAGACCTCAGTTAATAAAAATGTGCCAAAATTGGTTCATTGATTGGGACAAACGTACCATCCCTAATGTTAGATACCAATAATAGGGGATGCTTGGTGTGGGGTGTATGGGAACTCTCTGTGCTATCTTTACAATTTTTCTGGTAATCTAAAAATACTCTTAAATAAAAAGTTTATTAAAAACCTGTGAGTTACATATAGTGTGGACTCAAAGATGAGGACAAGGCCTCTGGAAGGGCCACATTTAAGATACCTCTTTGTGAGTGTGTGCACGTGCATATATAAACAGATAAATTTTCTATGATGAACCTGCAACACTTTTGTAATGAAACACTAATTTAAAATAAGTTGCCTCTTATACACTATTTGGAAGAAGAAAGAAGGTAAAGCAGCCATTTCAATGAGTATGTTTATGAGTTCGTTTATTGAATCTTTTATTTAACAACATGTACTAAGCTTGCATATAACTGGACCAGGGGTTCTATGGCAAGAATGAGACAAGCAGAGCCTGAGTTTACAGGTGAGACGCAGCTGGTGGCCTAGTGGAGAGCTGGCACACAAGCCGGCAGTAGGGTGAGCAGGCCTGGAATGCAGTGACGACACAGAGGAGGGAGCGCCTGGCTCTGCCAGGGGTCAGCCAAGGCTCAACAGCGCTTACGCTTTAAGACAAGAAAACAGCATGGAGTTGAGCGCTTAAGCTCTGGAGCTGGGCAAGTTCTCTCAAAGCCTCATCGAGCTATTCTGAGGATTAAATTAAAACACTAAGAAGCACAGAATAAGCTAGTTCCTGATATAGTAAGGGGTTATTATGTGCCAAGAACTGTTGTAAGTACTTTACATCTGTTAAACTCATCTAATCCTCTTATCCAATCTATCAGGGAGACACTATCATTACCCCTCATTCTAGAGATGAGGGAGCTGAGGCACCGAGGAGATCATAATCTGTCCATGGTACCAGCTAGTTAATGGTGGGACCAGGGCAGAGCCCAGGCAGTCCAGCTGCAGAGTCTGTATACCATACTCTCATGCCAGCCACATCCTTCAGTGACTAACACAACAATCATTTTGAAGGATGAGTAAAGGCCACGAGGCAGGTGAGGTGATGAAAGCTGTCATAATCTTACAATTTAACAGCCTAGACCTCAGGGGAGTTCTCACTGTGATGTAGATTTGAGGTCTCAGCACATGGTGGAAGGTGAGGCCTCTGAGCTGATGAAATGGCCCAGGAGAGCACCCTGTCCAGTGCCAGCACAGGACATCTGGAGCTCTGAACAGAGCTCAGTAGCAACTGTTTTAGTTCAGGTTGCTGTAACAAAATGCCACGGACTGGATGGTTTAAAAAACATATATATTTCTCACGGATCTGGAGGCTGTGAAGTCCAGGCTGTGAAGGGGCTGGCAGATCCAGTGTCTGATGGGGGCTCTCTTCCTGGTTTGCAGATGGCCATCTTCTTGAGAGCAGAGAGAGGAAGCAAACTCTTGGGTTTCTTCTTATAAGGGCACTAATCCTTCACATGAGGTCTCCACACTTATAACCTAATTACCTCCAGTTCCTACCACCTAACACCATCACAATGGGGATTAGATTTCAACATATGTATTCTGGGGAGACAAAATCATACAATCCATAATATTCTGCCCATGGCTCCCCAAACTTCATGTTCTTCTTATGTGCAAAATACATGCACTGCATTCCAACAATCCCAAAAGTCTTAACTGGTTGCAGCATCAACTCTAAAGTCCAAAGTCTCATTGAAATATTATCTAAATCAGGTGCAATTCATCCTGAGGCAAAATTCCTCTGCATCTGTGAACCTGTGAAACAAAACAAGTTATGCGCTTCAAAAGTGCAGTATGGTTGGATAGACAGTCCCATTCCAGAAGGGAGAAGTTGGAGAGAAGGAAGAGGTGATGGGGACTCAGTAAGTCCAAAATCTAGCAAGGCAGATCCCATGAGGTCTTAAGGCCTGAGAATAATACTCTTTGGCTTGACGATCTGTCCGACAAAGCTCTGTGAGGCACTGTTGTCATGGTTTCTTTTGAAGGCCCTCTGCCCTGTTGAAACCTAGGCAGTTGCCTGGTGTTCTGTGAATCAGCTTTGGAGGGCTTTCTTTCCATGTCCTTTCCTTCCCTTCCCTCCATTCTCCTCCCTCCCTCCGTTTTTTCCTTCCTCCCTTCCTTCCTTCTGGCCTGCATGCCTTCCTACCTTCCTTCCTTCTCTCTCTTCCTCCCTTCCTCCCTCCCCCTCTCCCTTGTTTCTTCCTGTTTTCTCTGTTTCTTTTTGTCTCAGCTGGCAGTGTTTCTGCTGGTATAATCTCACCTCTATTCCTAATGTTTTTTGAGGGAGCTGATTTCCACATGCTCAGGTATTTGTTACAGCAGCACCCCGCTTCTCCGTACCAAGTCCATGCTTCACACCTGCACTAATCTCCTTATCAAAGGGTCAGTCTGCCTCCTCCTCAGTGTTTTCTTCTGAACACACTGTCTCAATTTCGTGTTACAAAAAGGCCGAGAATTTTCCAAATCTTTAAGTTGTAGTTCCTATTTGCTTAACAATTCTGTCTTTAAATCATTTCTTTCCTCTTGCATTTTACCACAAGCAGTCAGGAGACACCATGCCTCTCCTTCAACATTTTACTTCAAAATCTGCTCAGCTAAATATCCAGAATCATTGCTTGCAAGTTCTACCTTCTACAAAACACTAGAATTTGAATGCAATTCAGCCAAGCTCTTTGCTACTCTATAACAAAGATGGCCTTTTCTTTATTGTCCTATGTGTTCCTTATTTCCACCTGAGACCTCATCAGAATGGTCTTTACCATCCATAGTTCAACCAATATTATGCTCATGATAACGTACGTATTCTCCAAAAAATACAATTTCTCTACAGGTCTTCTCTTCTCCTTGTGAGCCCTCAAAGACCTCCCTTTAGCTGTCCCTTTGCAGCAATACTGGGTTTTTCTAGCATGTACCTCAAGTCTTCCAGCCTCTACCCATTACCCAGTTCCACGGCCATTTCCACATGTTCAGGTATTTGTCATAGCAGCACCCCACTTCTCAGTACCAATTTCTGTCTTATTCAGTTTGGGCTACTATAACAATTTGCTATAGAATGGGTGGCTTAAACAATAAACATTGCTTTCTCATAGTTCTAGAGGCTGAGAAGTCCAAGGTCAAGGTGCTGGCAGATCCAATGTCTGGTGAGGGCCCAAGAAGGGCTTGGGTTGTAGATGGCCACCTTCCCTTGTATCCTCAGATGATGGACAGCAGAGTGAGATCAAGCTCTCTCACGTCTCTTCTTAGAAGAGGGCTCCTCCTTCGTGACCTAATTACCTCCTAAAGACTCTGCATTCTAATACCATCACACTGGAGGTTAGGATTTCAACAGGAATTTGGACAGGGACACACATGTGCAGTCCATAACAGGAACCATCTATTATAATTTGTTTCCGAGGAAAGGGACAGAAACCTATCACTTTTGAGTGACTATGATGTGCCAGGCCTTGTGCAAAACCTCAATGGCAGGTCAGATGATACTTGATGTACAGATAAGTAACCTGCAGCTCTGAGAGTTGAAGTGAGTTTCCCAGTTGTACAGCTGGTCAACGTGAGAACCAGAAAATCCCAAGGCTGTGTGTGCTCTTTTTTCTACACTGCACCCATCACAGTTGAGCCAGGCCGTTAGAGCAGCCCTCTGCAGGCAGCATCTGAGAGGAGACGTGGTCCTGGTGAACACACATGAGGGATCCTTCCAGTAAGGGCCTAGCTGCTGGAACTGTAAAGCACGGTGGGCCCTGGCCCCTCCCTGACCATCAGGCCCCGGTCATTTGTATCGCCTTCCATGGTGTTGGCCCAGGCTCCAGCCCTGCAGGGATGGTCTCTGGGTAATTTCTGAGATTTCAGGTCACTTTTCTTTTTTCTTTTTTTGTTGTTGTTCTTATTGATATTCTGAGTTTTCTTCGGTGAATATAATAGAAATAATAAGTAAAGAAAGATCCTGCTCCTTTAGAAAGCAGACGAACATGTAAACTGGTAACTATTGCACAAGATGGAGTCAAACACAGAAAGCAGAGGACTGTCTCAGTTCAAAGAGGAAAGTGATTTATTCTGCCTGTAGAAATCAAAGATTCAAGGAGGAGGTGACTGTTCTGGGCATTAAAAAATGAATAGAGCCGGGCGCGGTGGCTCAAGCCTGTAATCCCAGCACTTTGGGAGGCCGAGGCGGGTGGATCACAAGGTCAAGAGATCGAGACCATCCTGGCCAACATGGTGAAACCCTGTCTCTACTAAAATACAAAAATTAGCTGGGCGTGGTGGTGTGTGCCTATAGTCCCAGCTACTTGGGAGGCTGAGGCAGGAGAATTGCTTGAACCCAGGAGGCGGAGGTTGCGGTGAGCTGAGATCACGCCATTGCACTCCAGCCTGGCGCCTGGCAACAGAGTGAGACTCTGTCTCAAAAAAAAAAAAAAAAAAAAAATGAATAGGATTTTGATACATAAAAAGTCTCCTCGGCGGAAAGAATTGACTTGAACTAACGCCCAGAGTCATGCTAGGGTATGACACGTCAGAAAGCAAAAGTTTGTAGAGGGTGACTGAGGTAGCCAGCGCCAACTATGGCCCCAGGAACCCTTACCTCCCAGTATTTGCATGTTTCTATACTCCTCTCCCACACAGTATCAGGGCTGGTCTGTGCAACCAGTGGAACACAGTAGAAGGGATGGTGTGCCACTTCTGAAATAAGCTATAGAGGAGGCTGCAGCTTCCATCTTGGTCACTGTCTCATATGCGTTTTCTGTCTTGGATCACTCACCCTATGAAGAGACCCACATATTGAGGAACTGAGGTTTCAGCAGCATATGAGTGACCTTGGAAATGGATCCTCCATCACCTTCAGACAACTGCAGCCCTGGATCACAGCTTCACCACAACCTTGGGAGTGACCCTCAGCCAGAACCTCCCAGCCGAGCTGTTCTCAAGAGCCCAGAAGTCATGCGAGATGATAAATGTTTATTGTTTTAAACTGCTAAATTCAGGGTAATAGGTTATGCAGCAAGAGGTAACTAAGATAAATACAGCGAAAGCTAAAGCTGAAGAGAAATTTGAAGCCAAATCATAATCAGCCTTGAATGCCCTGTCAAGAAATGCAGACTGACCTGTCAGCAATAGGAAACCTGTTAAAGATGATCAAGGACCAAAGCATTGAAACATGCATTAAACAGGATCCCTGAAGGCTGTGTGAGGGAGGAAATGGGGACCGTCGAGAGGCTCAAACAGCAGGCTAGGTGAGACAGAATAAGGGTCTGGCCGGTTGCAGTAGCTCAGACCTGTAATCTCAGCATTCCGGGAGGCCAAGGCAGGCAGATTGCTTCATCTCATGAGTTCTAGACCAGCCTAGGCAACATGGCAAAACCCTGTCTCTACAAAAAATACAAAAAGTAGGCTGGTGTGGTGGTGTGCGCCTACAGTCCCAGTTACCTGGAAGGCTGAGGTGGGAGGATGGCTTGAGCCTGGGGGGGTGGAGGTTGCAGTGAGCCGAGATTGCGCCACTGCATTCCAGCCTGAGTGATAGAGCCAGACTTTGTCTCAAAACAAGAAACCCACAAAAAGCAAGGGTCTAGACTGAGCAGTGCCAAAGGGGAGAGAGAGAAGGTGGCAGTTAGTAGATATGCTAGAGGTAGAACTTCTGGTATTTGTTTACCAGTTGAATTGGGGTCTGAGAGGTTGGGGGAAGTGTCAGACTCTGAATTGTGCAAAACAGACTCTCACTCAAATGCACCGAACAAGGGGAATGAGGACAGAGGAAAAGCTGTAAGCCAGGCCCTCTGCAAGCACTGTTCAGGCGCTGGAAGAAGCGTTATTAGGAGGTCGCCTTGCCATCCCTCAGCGGCAGCACGCCATTGGTCTTCTATCTGCCACTGCTCTGTAGCTTGCTACTCAGGACTTCTTTTGTCTCACAACCTGCTTCCCCTAAGCTTTTGCAGCCTTGTGGCACATGATTTGATATCTGCCTCTCATCTTTCCTCTATGTGCCTTTTAACTTCTACTCCCCACTGGCGAATCGACTCGCTCTCTGAATCTCTAGTTGGAACTTTGAGAGGGAAGGTCTTGACAATTCAGTTTAGATCCATTGTCTCTGTGAGGTAACAGTCTCAGTAATTTGGCTGCCGGTGCTTCGAGTCCAATTAGTGGTGGACAGGGAGGCAAGGTCACCTTGTCTGAGCGGGGCACGCTGGCTAGAAGAAATGCTTTGGGGACGGGGTGCAGGCATGATAGGCTTTTTGAGGCTGAGCCTACATGGAACCTGTCAGAGAGGACTGCAAAGTTTCTAGCCTGTAAGAGAGGTTAAGGGAAATGGGCAACGAAGGATGAGAAGCCAGTTGGCTTGGTGGATGGAGAGGTTTGAGGTACATGTAGGAGAGAAAGACATACATGGAGGGAGATATCCAGACGAAGCTGCAAATTCAGGCCCGGAATTCGAGAGAAGTGAGCCCTGGGGAAGACTTAGAGAAGAGCACCAGAATGATCACAGAAGTTACAAGAATGAGGTGCCCTGGACAGGGGCAGATAAAATTCAGTCACCTCTGGGGATAGGAGGGCAAAGAAATAACTGGACTGATTCTTTGTCTTTCTCCACAGAAGGCCAGATAACTTCCAAAATTACCCAAGGATTCATCATATCAAGGGACAAACAGCTTCCTGCTGCTTCTCTCCGTGTCCTCTCAGGGCGATAGTGTCTGGCCCTCTCTCAAGGTAACCAAACTCTGGGGGCCTGAATCTGACAATGCCCATTGCACCTCACAGATCAGCTCTAGACAATGCTCACATATGTTCCCCCCGTATAGCGTCTCTCAGTTATACTTGAGTAAAGCACATGTACTTTTCCCCTGCTTCGTATCTCTCAGTTGTACTTGCACAACACTCACATACTTTTCCTGTTTCGTATCTCTCGGTGGTACTTGAGTAATGCTCATATACCTTTCCCGTTTCCTATCTCTCTGTGATACTTGAGTAATACTCATATACTTTTCCCTGTTGTCGTGTATCCCTTAATTAGAAAACTGCCACACATGGTGTTCCAGGCTACTCTCTCAAGAGATTTTGTAAGCAATGAGTCCTAAGCTGGGAAGAGACACACAACTTTGCAAATGAGTTTGAACTCTTTTCTCCTCCCTTCCGCCAGGTGGTTCCTTTCCTGACAGAATATAATTAACAATAAACTCGATAAAATCTGGATTTTTTTCTAACTCATCCAAAAACTGTTACCCAGTATGTGGAATACCTATTAGCAGTCAGTGAGCAATACCCATTTTCCATTTGGAAGGCACTTTTATTTTCTGGTCTCAGCAGCCCAGGAAGAATGATTGTTGGTAGTCGTGGGCCTAGTTTAAGAACAGAACCACGATTCATACCTATTTAAAGTTTAATATCCCCTATATAGATGTTCAAGAGAAAGGTCAATACATAATCTTGGTACACATTCTTAGACAATTATTATAACAAAATAACCACCTGAAAATGAAATTTTTGCAAATTATAAAATAGTTGCTTGATTTTTCACAAGAAAATTGTACAAATTGTTTTTAAGGGTATTTTAAATCTAATTTTGTGTTAATTTAGCTTGTACTAAGCAAGTAACATAGATAGAAATGCTTCTAACATATTTGAAAATTTGTTTCCCTCTATTTCCTATGTTTTCAATTTTCCTGTTTATCCTTTTTCCCTCTGCCTCTCTCCCTTCCCCTGGTTCTTTAGTTATTTCAGAGAATTTTGTAAAAGAATCTGAGACCATGGAAAAGATCTTAGAGTTTTTTGTTGTTGTTGTTTGTTTTTAAAAACAACCCTTGTTCATAAAAATCTCCTAGTATGCTTTTCCAAAACTGTAGACTCCTTGGCCCTACCTATGGAAAGTTTATTTTAGTAGGTCTATGATATGGCCAAGGAGTCTACTTTTTTTTTCTTTTTTTTTTTGAGACAGAGTCTCACTTTGTTGCCCAGCGTGATCTTGGCTCACTACAACCTTTGCCTCCTGGGTTCAAGCAATTCTCATGTCTCAGCCTGCCGAGTAAGTGGGTCTATAGGTGCATGCCACCAAGCCTAGCTAATTCTTTGTATTTTAGTGTAGGCGGGGTTTCACCATGTTGCCCAGGCTGGCCTCTAGCTCCTGAGCTCAGACAATACAATACTCCCACCTTAGCCTCCCAAAGTCCCAAAGTGCAGGATTACAGGTGTGAGCCACCACACCCAGCAAGTCTGTACTTTTAAAAACTTTCCAAGTAATTCTAAGAGGCACTCCCAGCTGAAAACCATAGCTCTTCGACATATGACAGAGATTCGGTTCATTGATTCACTTGCTCACTCAATGTGTATAGGGCACATCTGTGAATTAGGCACTATTCTAGGTGATTGAGATCAATCAGAAAACTAAGCTTACAAAAATTCTTGCCTTTGCAGAGCTTACACCATAGCATCTCTTAAAAGAAAACAAAATAAAAAAAAAACCCCATCCAGACCTCTGCACTGTCCACCAACTCAGACTACACCCATAAACTCTGTTGTCTATCTTGCACAAAATGTTTGTGGCGTGGTCATAGAAGGCTTATCTCTGCCCATATAAAATATGGAAGGATAAGAGCATGAATCCTAAGAGTGAAACCAATGGCAGGTATACACGAGCCGTCATCAAACCATTTCCTCCCTCCCCATACTGTCTTCTTGGAGAGTTTGCCCTCACTTCCCTCTCAGAATTTCTGCTCCCATGGTTTTGCTTAGTAGGTCCTGAGCTATATGCATCCTATCATGGCTGAGCTGATTGAACCAGGGGCAGATACATGATCATGCTGGTTAGTCTAATTTTTTTCTGTGGAGTTTAGAATATACACTCAGAAAATTCAGTAGGGTTGCTAATTAAAATGCTTGCAAGGGTCTAGCAGGTAACATAATGAGTGATACTTACCAGGTATAAGGAAACCAATAAGACACTGTTACGGTAGACAGCATCTGATCCATGACCTTGGGGTCTGGGATCCTGCTATGAACTGGATGTTTGTGTTCCCTGGCTTAGTTCATTTTGTGCGGCTATAACAGAATACCACAGACTGGGTGATTTATAAAAAGTAGTTTATTTGGCTCATGGTTCTGGAGGCTGGGAAGTCCAGATGGTGCTGGCATCTGGTGAGGGCCTTTGTAGTGCATTATCCCATGGTGAAGGGCAGAAGGCAGAAGGGCAGACAAGCATGCAAGACAAAGAGAGGATGGGGGCCAGAATGTATCCTTTTATCAGGAACCCATTCCCACAATAACTAACTGCTCCTGTGATAATGACATTAATTCATTCCGAATCACCTCTTAATACTGTTATACTGGCAATTTAATTTCCACATGAGATTTTGAGACCATAGTACCTGCCATAATTCATATGTCGAAATCCTAACCCATAATGTGATGGTATTTGGAGATGGGCCTTTAGGAGGTAATTAGCTCATAAGTGTAGAGACCTCGTGATAGAATTAGTGCCCTTGTTAGAAGAGACATGAGAGAAATTCCTTCCTCTCTCTATTCTTTGGCATGTGAGAGAACCAGAAAGACAGCCCTCACCAGAAACCAACCATGCTGGCACCCTGGTCTCAGACATCCCAGCCTCCAGAATTGTGATAAATAAATGTTTCTTGTTTGCACCACCCAGTCTGTGGTATTCTTGATGGAGAAGCCTGAGCTAAGACATATACAATAGAGATGGTGGCAAACTGGAGAGCACATGCTCTGTGCCAAGGAGGTGGCCATCATTCAACTCCAGCCAATTGTTGCCACATGTAATCCCAGTTTGCCAGATTTTCTGATATTTACAGAAGTCTAGAATTTATGTTTTCATATGAAATCTCGAAATAATTATTTTATATTTGAAAAAAATTTGTGTGGTTCAAAGCAAACACCATTGCAGGCCATGCCTGTTGTACCACACCAATGTGCATCCTCTGACTGCTCTAGCCAGTCTTTGTTGGAAACAAACACAAGAAAGTATGTCAAACCAGAGGCTGAGGATGCTGTGTTTGGTCCGCGTGTCCAGGAAAGCGGAGACACACACATTGCAGATATAAAATAAAAGGGTGGTAATGACAAAAGCAGAGATCAAAACACAACCAACCAACAAAAAAAATAAACTAAAAAGTGGTGGAAAGAGAGACCTGGATCCTGACAACATAGTTTTTATTCTAGTTTTTCTTTTTCTAGTCTATAGCTCTGGACCTTGGGTTCTATAAGATATCCTTGGTTCCTTATTTTATTTTATTATTCTTGAGACGGAGTCTTGCTCTGTCACCATGCTGGAGTGCAGTAGTGCGATCTCAGCTCACTGCCACCTCTACCTCCTGGGTTCAAGTGATTCTCCCATCTCAGCCTCCTGAGTAGCTGGGACTACAGAGCACACTACCACACCTGACTAATTTTTATATTTTTAGTAGAGACAGGATTTCACCACATTGGCTAGGATGGTCTCAATCTCCTGACCTCGTGATCCTCCCACCTTGACCTCCCAAAGTGCTGAGCCACTGCCCCCCGGCCCCTTGTTTTCTTATAATAAATCACCCTTTTTTTTGCTTAAACTTGTGTTACATACATACAGTCACTGGTAAAGGTTGTGGGTGTTTGTTTTCTTCTTCCTAGACAAAGGGTAGCATTATTACTAAGCATTAGCATAACTACTATTGACTCCTCTGTGTGTCAGTGGATTTGGTATATACCAGTAGCAACACATGGTCTTGGCATATGATTTTGATTTATTGAAATGAACTCATGTTCACCTAAACTAGTGGTTTCCAGACCTGGCTGTGCATCAGAATCATCTGGGGAGCCTTGGGGGGAAATATACATCCTCTGGATGACCCCAGACCTGGACAATCAGAGACTTCTCAGGTGGAGCCTGGAGACCACATTATAAGAACCCCAAGGGGTTCTGATGCAGCCAGCCCAGCACTTGTCTGGGCACAAGGGAACCAGCATGAGAGACCACCATCAGGGATGGACCATGCCTGAGTTAGGGTTGGCAGTGTCAGGGGGAATCAGTTGCTTGGCTGTTGAAAATGTACCTCTTTTTTACAAAGAACTTGAAAAATAAAGAAGAAAAATAGGATCTCAAGGAGATGGACCGGATTATCCTGTGTTATAGTCCAAAAGTTTCCCACCATGCCCCCATATCCTCTCTTGAATTGAGGTAGTAGGTTGGGAGCAAAAGACTCTGCAGCCTCTTGGTTAAATTCCATGTGGGAATTACAGCTGTCTAATTTCCTTCTATTACGCGGTGGTGAAAAATCAAGCAACTACTTTATAATTTGCAAAAATTTCATTTTCAGGTGATTATTTTGTTATAATTGTCTAAGAATGTATACCAAGATTATGTATTGACTTTTCTCTTGAACATTTGTATAGGGGATATTAAACTTTAAATAAGTATAAATAGATACTCAGGCTAAAAAAATTAATCTGCCCTAAGTTAGTCTGCTGCTGTTTGTACAAAGGCAAAAACTGCCTGCTTCTGCATGGGTGTCATCATGGCAGAGCACATTTTCAAATGATGCTGGTGAATCCACAATGTAGCACATGCTGATCACATGAGCCTCACAGCATGGCCTCTCACAGGTCACTGGCATTCTCAGCCAGTGATCAAAATCAAGTTATACAATACACTATGCAGTTTATTCTGAGCACAGCCCAGTGAAATGGTGAGGCTTCAATTTCATTAAAATAAATATGTAAGGACAACCAGTTCTGGAAGTTGGGAGTGTTTTACCTCACTTTCAGTAAACTTTGCCCCACATCCCTGAGGGTGGGTGAACTAGTGCTTAGACAAAACAGAAAGTTAACAAGATGCTGAGAACAGGAGTCTGTACCACAAGACCCCAAAATGAAATCCAAAGGTGGTGAGCAGGCAACAGATAGCAGAAACAGACTGGAGAGATGGCGGTGGCTACAGCAGTTTCTGCAGGTCAAAAACAATGACCCAGCACCTTAGGAATTAGCTTACTATCTGCCTCTTTTCTAACATTATTTGTACGTGTGAGCCAGCTAGACACCTATGCTCAGAAAAATACCCCTACAGGAAGATCCGTTATTTTTTCCCCCTGAGACAGAGTCTTGCTCTGTGACCCAGGCTGGAGTGCAGTGGTGCGATCTTGGCTCACTGCAGCCTCCAGCTCACTGCAACCTTCGCTTCCCAAGTTCAAGTGATTCTCCTGTCTCAGCCTCCCAAGTAGCTGGGATTACAGATGCACACCACCATACCCAGCTAATTTTTGTATTTTTAGTAGAGATGGGGGCTCAGCATGTTGGCCAGGCTGGGTTTGAACTCCTGACCTTGTGATCTGCCCCCTTTGGCCTCCCAAAGTGCTGGGATTACAGGCGTGAGCCTCCACACGCAGCCAGGAAGGTCTCTTGAAGCTTATCCAGCTCTAAGGGCTGCTGGTGGGCTTCCTGCCTCAGCCTCCCCCATCCTACCATTCTTCTTTCTAGGGGACTCATCTTACATTTCATGGGGTGAGGGTGAGATCCCCTTTTTTTGCATTATTTATTTTCTAACTTGAATTTTTTGCTTTCCTTTCCTTAGATCTGGGTTTTCCTCTATCTGGATTCTCCCAGGTCAGGTCAGATTTGGAGCTTGGACAACATATAAAGGTGCTTCTAAATTACTAGGAGGAACATTGTGAACATGGGAAGTCCTAAAATCCTCTCCCCAGAGATATGGTTTGGAAGAAAGGTCAACAATCTATGCGTGTCATAAGTACTGCAAGAAATTCTAGTGCCAGTGGTCCATGGGCCACCTTTGAGACCCCCCACCCCCCACCCCGGCCCAGAGCATCTCTTACTGCTGAACTCCCAGAAAACCTCCCTGGTCCTCTTTTGCTGGGCAACACAAGACAGCTCGGCAGGATTTAGGTTACATGACAAACATTTAGTGAGTGGCCCCACTTGGGCCAGGCAGTCATTCCTCTGGGACCCTGCTCCTCCTGCCTTTCCCTGCTCCTTCCTTTTCCCAATCCCCTATTATTGTTGCTTCTCACCTCTGGCTCCTTTGCTCTTGCTGCCTTCTTGAACTCTCTGAAGCCACTGAACCTCTGAGGCTGGGAGTCCTCTTCTCCTCTAAACTTCTCTTTCCTTAGCAGTGGGGACTCAGCCCCAGTAAGTGGGATCCTGGCTCTGATATGGGTTGGCTGTGTCACCACCCAAATCTCATCTTGAATTGTAACTCCCACAATTCCCATGTGTCATGGGAGGAACCCAGTGGGAGGTGATTGAGTTCAGGAGTTGGGTCTTTCCTGCACTGTTCTCGTGATAGTGAATATATGACACATGACCTGATGATTTTAGAAAACAGGAGTTGGCCAGAACAAGCTCTCTCTTTTCACCTGCCAACCTCCTTGCCTTTTACCTTCTGCCATGATTGTGAGGCCTCTCTAGTCACATGGAACTGTAAAACCAGTAAAACTCTTTCTTTTGTAAATTGCCCAGTATCGGATATGTCTTTATCAGCAGTGTGAAAATGGACTAATACAGGCTCCAAAACTTCAATCAAAAAGAAAGGAAGGTATGTGATTTGGCAGCCCAAGTAACTTCAGAGAATTAATGAATCTGACCCAAGAAGGAGTTTTGTATTTCTGAATTTTAAAAAATTTCTCTTTAAGTCTTACACTTTCTGAAAGCAATTCATTTGGAACATTGCTAGCATATGACTGATACCCTGTACTAGAGAAAGAAATATGAATACAAGTAAGAAAGTTAGCATGGAAAGTCCAGTATGTGTGCAACCAGATCAGAAAGGGATATTTGATGGAATATATATGAAAACAATGTTTAGAGAAAAACACAGCACTTCATGTTCATAGGGTTAATACTACTCAATAAACCAGTTAAAATTGGTGGGAGATTTCCTATATAGTTAAGTGCAAAAGCAAACTGCAGAACTAGATGCACATCTATATTCATATATATAGTTAGCATTTGTGTATTAATAAAAAAGCCTATGCCACTATGTATGTATGTACATATTTGCTTCCTTGTGCATAGTCTCTGGAAAGACATAAAAACCAGGTAATAACAGTTTTGCTTCTGGAGAAGGTAATTGGGTAGCTGAGAAAATTCCTTTTGAAAATATCATTTCGTAGCTTTTGCATGTTGTATTGTATGATTATTTTATCTATTCAACAAATTTAAAATTTAAAAACCACCCTCTTGGCCGGGTGCAGTGGCTCACACCTGTAATCCCAGCACTTTGGGAGGCCAAGGCAGGTGAATCACTTAAGGTTGGGAGTTCGCAACCAGCCTAACCAACATGGAGAAACTCCATCTCTACTAAAAATACAAAATTAGCTGGGCATGGTGGTGCATGCCTGTAATCCCAGCTACTTGGGAGGCTGAGACAGGAGAATCACTTGAACCCAGGAGGTGGAGGTTGCAGTAAGCTGAGATCGTGCCATTGCACTCCAGCCTGGGCAACAAGAGCAAAACTCCATCTCGAAAGAAAAAGAAAGAAAAAAAAAATCACCCTCTGCAAGTCCCTTCAGATTTTATTTTTCTAAATCTGTGTACAGCATTTTAAACAAATTCCTGGATTTGAACACTAAAGACGAAAATGGAATTATGGTAGTGAGGCCACAAAGGAGAGTCAGGAACAACCCGTGGGTATTAGGTTTAAAAACGTGGACAGAGTCTTTCTTGTCTGTGTGGATAATAGTTTTTGGTGATAGTTGAACACACTCCCACAGGGAGAATGTAAGGGATGTTGACTGGCACTCAGAGAGAATGCCAGGTGCTGGGCACTCCACATTCCAACAAAAGTTCCCAACACTTCCCTCAGGCTTACCAGTCTGGCTTTCCTATCCCCAGACATAATGCCAGCATCCTTCTCCCCAAGGCTGACAGGCAGTAGAGAGAGCTGGATGCACTGGGAGTGCAAACCAGAAGTCACCCTGTCCCATTGGTGATGGTAACCCCGTCAGCTCTACAGGCCAGGTGATCTCTTGGTCCCCACCTTGACTCCTCTCCTCTCACTGTCAGACCACAGGTACCACATCACATAACCTGTAACATCTCTGTTCTAGAAAGAAGAAACTGTGCCTTGTTCATCACTTTATCCCTCACGCCCAACATAGTGCCTGGCCATTGTGGTACTGACTGAAATGATTGTTGGATGAATGAACGAACAAGTGAATAAATGAATGAACAAATGGCATTAAGCTCTTTACTGTCCAAAGCTCCTAGCCAAAAGAGATGTTTTTCTCTAAGGTGATAAGTCTCCCAACATCCAGTGTATCCAGTGTTTGTTGACAGGGCCTCCCAGCCTTCACAGCACCTTGGTGAAATCAGAAAAGCGCATGCTCCAGGCAGTTGTACCCATAAGCCATAGCTTGGGGGCAGAACTGGCCTCTGAGAGAAGGTAAAAGTGCCTTTCTCTTGGAAGATAGCCTGGATTGCTGCATTCAGGTTACATTTCTAGCCTCAGCCACCCTGAAGCTGGGCATTTCTGTGCAGAACCCAAACCACAACCTTGAGCAGCTACAGAATTCCTTCCCTTTACCTCACTTCTGTTATGCCATCTCCATCTCCTCTTCTAGCCTGTCATTTACTCCCCCACATCTCTTCTCCATCTCCTTTACCTAAGTGGCCCCTCCCTGCCTATCTCTGCTGCATGTCTCTTACCCTCTTCCCTTTTCAATCTCTCATTGATATTTTTTGCCTTCCATATTTCCTGGCTGCTCATCCTCTCTTTCATCAGCACATACTGTGGTTCACACGTTTTCTCATTTTTCTCTCGTGGTACCATATTGAAAAAGAGTTTGTTGATTCCATTTAACAGAAAATAAACTAAGACTCAAGCAGTTTATATAACTTGATGAGATCACACAAGCCTTAAGGAGCAAAGTTAGCAATTTAATCCAAATCGAGGTGACTTCAAACACAAAGTTTTGACTTCTGCTTCTGGCTATAATTGAATAACAGGAACCAGATTTTATCCTTCTGCCTAAAACTGTAACAAAAAGAGGGATGAGATATATGGAACAGTTTCAAGACACTGGGCATCATGTAACAAAGGATAGTGATCATGTAGAGATAGAAAATAAAATTAATGAGCCCTACAATTACCCTAGTTTATTGCCTTGAGACATTTTCCAAGCTATGGCTCAGGGAGGGGGAAATGGGGCAGAGACTGGTGATCTCACTGAATTGAGGACACAGAACCTAAGAGTCTGGGGAGACCAAAGCAGCCTAAGTTGAGAGTACAGAATATGAGAGAGGAGAGAGGTGCACAGAAAGAGAATCTCAGAGCTCTGCAAAGAGAAAATACTGATCTGAATGCTGAACATGGGGAAGGAACCACCTTTAAGAATTAGAGGCACAGTGCCTGGATCTGACACAGGGCCAGAAATTGTGCCTAAATTGTGTTTTTTCAGTCAGATTTTAAACACTTAATTCATTTGACATTGGGTAGAGTACTCAGGAAGAAGGTTTTGCCTCAGTAGTATTGAGTATTTAGCCCTAGGATGAGCGCTGCCCTGGATCCAGCTAACAAATCATAAAAGCAAGACCAAAAGGATGAAACTATTTCCAAATAACTACATTCCTTCTT